ATCATCATCATCATCATCATCATCATCGCAGAAGAGCACTGAAAGGGAGCTCTGCTGCTCTGGCTATAGTGGGGGAGTGAACATGGCACCTATAAAAGCTGATAAATGATAATCAATTGCAGATTCCAAGCTCCCTTTTTGGTATATGACACTGAATGCAAAGATGTAGCACAGATTAAATTTAATCATATGTGAGTACAGTGTTGTGCAATCTGCTGATAGGATTAATTTTTAGAATGGGTTCGTGTTAATGAGATGGTGGCGGTGAGAGCAGGTGAATGATGGTGATTTTATAGATAGGAATTTGCATGACAATAAAACAGCCCTCCACATTCTCTTTGTGAGCTCACGTTCCTAAATTTCTGCATTGTCTGGTCATGCTTTTGAAGTTGTGCTTTGCACTGCTGGACAGCAGTGACTGAGTGAACAGGGGGAAAAACACTTGATGTGGATGGAGAGGTAATCCCTGAGATTTTAGGGATTACTGAATATGAAGAGCTCTTATTCCGAAAAGTAAACTACTGTGTTCGTGGGGTATTACTGGCAAAGCTCATCATAATATAAATTCTATACCCAAGTCTCCATATTCTGAATAAAATTTACAGGTTATGGACAATATATGCCACAAACAGGACAAAAATATATCTAACTCTGTTTGCCCAGTGATAACTGTCATAGCAAAGCCAGGAGCAAATCACTTACCTTAACAGTTTAACCTCAGTCCACTCAGTAACAACTAAATCAAACTTGATTCTAATACATAAATGTACAGCTCCAACTATTACGTGGCTATTAGAACAAGCGGTTTGATTTGCCAGTGCAATGGAATACTGTGGGAATCAGTTGGACTGGGCAGCTCTTCTGTAGCAGGCACGGACTGCTGATTCCTACATTTTTAAACAGCTCAGCTTGGTGTGACCTCTACCGTTCAGAGCCCCCCAGGACCAAGCAGAGTCAGCAAAAGAGAGCAGACATGGCTGCAGCAGAGGGGAGCCAAGAGCAGAGACAAATCAGAGGGCTCAATAAGAAAGCGTCCTATAACAGCCAAACCCTTCCCCATTAGGATCCGTGTTCTTATCGAATCACTGCACAGGGAGGGAGCTGAGCACCGGTGTGGAAATCTCTTTCATGCATAATCAGCAGTTTTCTAGAATCTCATTAGAAAGTTTGTTGTCAACCTGTGTCAAAATAATGTAAAAGACACAAATACCGCTTTGAAATGCTATGTACAGCAAAAGTATCTAAATAAGCCATTCAATCTAGTACTGACTCTTATTTATTTCTTAAGGTTTCTTAACAAACCTTTATACTGTAGTTAAAAATTATGTCAATTAAGTTATACTGATATACTGTATGTAGTCTAGTGTATATCAATGTTATAAAACACCAAAGGACGTAGAGTTTTTAATGCTGAAATGCCGGCCCTATTATCTAGCAAGAGAGCATAGTGCTGTGTTTCTGGCTGCTGTGTATGTTAGCCCAAGAGCTAATCCCTCTGCGGCTCTAAGCAAACTCTATGATGTCATCAACGCGCTAGAGACAGCGCACCCTGATGCTGTATTTATCGCTGCAGGCGACTTTAACCAGTGCAATTTACGGACTGTACTTCCTAAATATGTGAACATTCCCACTCGGGGCAAGAACACTCTGGATCATGTTTACAGTAACATACATGGTGCATACAAGGCTGCACCACGCCCCCACCTAGGACGCTCGGACCAAATTTCTTTGTTCCTGTATCCAGCTTACAGACAAAGACTGAAACAAACAAACCCTGTCACCAAACAAATTAAACTCTGGACCCCAGAGACTGAAGGCATCCTGCAGGACTGTTTCGCCCAGACAGACTGGGATGTGTTTAAAGCTGCAGCCACCCTAGAGGACTTTTCTGTCAGCGTACAGGATTATGGTGAGTATGTGACTGGATACATTAGTACCTGTATTGACAACATTGTGCCCACCATACAAGTCAGGAGGTTTCCCAACCAGAAGCCC